CTGACCTAGGGAGGATTTTATTTGGGGTTTATTTTTTAACAATTTGACAGAGACACAACTTTAAAATTTGATTTAATTCGGTTTTATCGGGGGGGAATGTATTTATGTTTTGTTTTAAATATGTTGTGCGCCGCCCTGAGTCCCGTCGGGAGAAGGGCGGCATATAAATTAAATTTATTATTATTATTATTATTATTATGTCCCAAAGGTCATATCCTGCTCCCCTGGGGCTGTGGCTGATGACTATGTCCTATGTTGGATTTTTTGGGGTGAGGGATTGTTGATTTCTGGGGATCTTTTGTCTTTCTAATCCCATAAACTCCAAGCTTCCTGGCTCTAGCCTTTCTGAAAGGATTATCACATCTGCATTTCTACAGATCTGGTTTCTGCTGAGTTTCTGGCTAGGGGGAGGGAGACGTTTCCTGCCTTTTTTAAGATCTTCTTCATTATTCCTTTGGAGAAATATATTCTGCCTTTTTAATATTCCCCAAAATATTTCTTTTTCTGGGCGGGGAGCTGACTTCCCACAGTAACAAAGGGTGATGATATAACCCAGGGACACTGTAACCATCGTATATATATGGCAGTTGCCAAGCATCCAATTTTCATCATGTGACCATGGGGATGTTGCAATGATTATAAGTGCGAAGATCGATCATGTCACTTTTTTCAGTGCCACTGTAACTTTGAATGATTGCTAAACCAATAGTTGTAAGTCACGGATTACCTGTCGAGTATTTGCTTAATTTTTTAAAATATTAATCTGCATTTATTCTTCCCTCAGCCTTGCAGATTTCACTGGTGTTTTCTAAAGAAAATGGACTACTATCATTTATTCATAAGTCGCTGAGTGTTGAAGATGTAAGTTAAAAATCTAGGGATGAAACTACTTTTTAAATAGTCTTGCCTTGTTGAGTAATATTTCTAGACAAATTAGGTACATTTTGTTATGTTGGAAGTTATTTGAATTGCTTTTTCAAAAGCTGTGTGTAGGAAGTAAGTGATCTGAGAGTGCAGTGTTTATATGTTCATTTCATAAGACTGATATTAAGCCTTATTTTGTCTGAATATATTCTTAATGATTTTATTTTAGTTTAGAGAATGCAGAGAAGAAGCATTAAAATTTATTCTTGCCTTTGTGGAAAAGATTGGCCTCAAAGTTCAGCCTTATGCACAAGATGTAAAGGTAAGTCAAAGAAAATTATTTTACTTTTTTATGTCAAACTAGATAAATTTGCTGAGCAAAGTAGAATTAATATTAAAATTAAAATACTAATGGTAATTTTAAAAGCTAACTACTTTCATGAAGTTCTTAAATTATTTGTTCAATTGAAATTCTCAAACATGAGATAATACTTACCTGTACTTCATGAGAAATATTTAAAGTATCTCAAATGAAAAACATTACATCTTCGAAACAGACTAGGTATGAAAATTGTATTTTGGATGGAGGTCGGAAAAATAGGAAATGATTTGTACTTCATCTTAATTTCATAATTTATCTTCAGAATGTGCCTTTTTAATATAAAAGTGTAACATGCTGGTTCTTCTGGGTCTGAACAATCAACTGTGATTGTAACCTTCTGTCTCAATCTAGAAGTTGTACTATTGTGTTATTGTTTATATTGTTCTAATCTTATATTAATGTTAATAGTATTTACCATAATTAGAATATAATATTCTAATATTGTTAATGCTTCCAGATAGAATAATAGATGTCCCATCAATTTCATATTCTTTTTTTACCACTGGGATGTTCTGAATGGATGTCTTTTTATGAACACTCTCCACTGTTGAAAAGAGAAGATTTAATTTAGCCCAAAATGTACAGAAAAAAACATTGCTACAACCTGGCTTTTGATTAATGCAACCGAGGGATGTGAAATATTCCAATATCCAAAATTATTATGTGGGTAAACAAATTTGCATTGGTATCTTTAGGTGTTTTAATATTTTTGAATAAAGTAAAATAATGGGGAACAATTACATCACCAATTCCATATTTAAGTTGGAGGCTTTTGGTTGTATCGTTATATAATATCTTTTTTGTCTTTTAAAAAATTAGCGGATATGTGTTACTGTTTATACAAAAGGCAGATCAGCAAAATGTGGAATTCCAGCTCTAGAGCTATTGATCAAGGTAAAATTGATGGCATGTTTTTATATTTTGCTGTACTTTAAAAAAATATTTACCATTCTAACCCTTGAAATGTTGATTGTTGAATATCTTTGTAGCTGCTTCAGAATTTACAATCATCATATATAATGGAAGACATGAAAGTTGGAGAAATCTTTAACAAATTTTATGGAGAACTTGCTATAAAAAGCAAAGTGCCTGATACAGGTAATATTTAACTTGTTTGTCAGTAACTAAGATTAAAAGGTATTTAGCAAGTATCGTAAATTAGCTAGTGTCCCAAATAATAATCAGTTGAGATATATCCTGACAAAAAGTTTCTAGTAAAGCCTCTAATAAGTTGTAAGTAGTATTGTAAGCAAGGAATGATGGTGACCCTACGTGACATTGATTTTGTACAAATTTATTCCTACTTAATTGTTTTTAAAATTCATGTATAACTTAACATTTTTTAAAAAAATGTGCCAGACATCAAGATATGTTCCCCTGGTGTTGCAAAAGAGACCAGCCTGAGGAACATGGCATGATAATAAGTTGTAACGTTTTCTTCCCAGGAAAAAATGTAGTTGGAAGAAGAAGAGTATTCTGTTGGTTTCTGGCTTAATATCTTTTCACATGCTCTTTTTCTTCCCTGAGTCATTAAAAAATTATTGCTGAAAGCCTGAGCAATAGGTGTACCATCTTGTGGCAGACTCTTTCCTTTTAGCAAGTTTATTTGTGATTTGCCTGGCAAGCAAGATCAATTCAGAAAGCTGAGGGGTGAGGTGGGATTTGGAGAGGGCTCAAATATAGTTATTTGCTGAAGTTACGTGTTTCAAAACTAAGCAGCTACTTGAACTTCTCTGGGAAGTAATCATTGCAGATGTGCAGGACTGCATTTCTAGGGTTTTTTTAAACCCAGTTTTAGAAATTGTATAACTCATTGAGTAGCAATATATATACAATGAGATTAGTACCGATCAGAACAATGTACAGTATGTGAATGCTGGTAAGAACTTGAAAATCTGTATGTTGCTCTGAATTAAATCCTCCTACATTTGATGATAAGGGAAAAATAATTGGGGTAGTTGACATCAAATAAAATATAATCAAGTGATTAAAATGCTATTTTTTTATTTTTTTAAAAAAAAGTGTTGGAAAGGATTTATGAGCTCTTGGGAGTCTTGGGAGAAGTTCAACCTAGTGAAATGATTGACAATTCTGAAAAACTATTCCGTGCTTATCTGGGAGAATTAAAAATACAGGTAAGAAAGAGTTTTGCATTTGGTATGGGAGGTTGAGGTTGATTTCTTAAAAGTGTTGACAATGGTGACAATACCTCATATATTACTGTTTTATTATGATATAAGTTTTAATGGGCTATTCCAGTTCATTGTATAAAATTGAATATATATTTTTCCATGTATGCTTTTGATGTATATGTACTGCAGGTTTCCAGGCTGGTCCAATTACTCAGTATTAATGAAGCTTATTTAATAAGGTCATCACAGTGGTTTAATTTTGGACCTGTGCATTTTCTTTTATAAATTGCAGTATGAGAATAATAGGCAGAAGTGAGAATTATAATTAATGCAAATTGAATTAGTGAGATATTTGCTATGTTTTTGTAAACACATCTAGCATTTTTTAAAAATTTTATGAGAATTCAGAAACCTGTATATTGGATTGGATTAAATTTTTCTATATAATGATGGGCAAATATAATTTGCATAGCTGGTATTAAAATATGAATAGGTGAAAAAGGTGTTAAATATTTTTGTAAATGTGTTAGAAATTATATGTAAGCTCCTGGGAATCAGATGAAGTTTATTCTTTACTTACAACATATAACCTATATGTATATTTTCTACTGCTTATATAGTATTGTTCTTACACATTTAATTAAAACTTGTATGTGTTCTAAACTTTTTAGAACTGTGAAATAAAAGAACTGATCTATTTATGTAGTATATCAGAGTGATGAATACATCTCTTATTACTATAGAAAGTAGCTTGCTTCTAACAAGGGCAGATTTTACAAACCTGTCTTTTAGTATCGGTTATTAATTTATAATAGAAGTCTGATTATTTAATATATATAAATGGTGCCAATTTGCCAGAATATATAAATGACTTCTTTAAAGGCATTTGATAAGAACTTGGTTAGTGCTATCACAACCCTGTATGATTTACTGGTTATTTATGTGTCAACATTTTCTGGATTATTCATCCTGCATTAAATAATAGTGATGAAATGATTTTTTAGTACCCAGTTATACATCAGAAGTACCACATTTATTCCATAGTCTTACAATAGATGCATTGCTAAAATGTTGATTTTTATTACTATTGTTACTTTAGATCTTCTCTGTTCTTGTTTTAAAATATTATTTTCTCATTTTCAGATGACCTCTGCAACAAGACAACCAAAGTTCACTATTGTAGCAGGGTGTCTGAAAGGACTAACTGCACTTATGTATAATTTTACCAAATCCATGGATGAAGGTATAATCTTTATTTTACTAAAATAACCGAATAACAAAAAAGTGTACAATTTTCTTCCTGTATAAAATTGCCTTTCACCAAAAAGGTTAAATCTCTTAAGGGTGGAAAGTTTATTCCCCAAACCATCCTATTTAAATCTCATTTCACTGTTTGGAATAATTTGTTTCAAGATCAGACCTCTTTCAATAAAGTGGAAATGACCAAATTTGTGGTAAAAAAAAAAATCTCAATGTTGAATAATTTGCACACATATTTAAGATGAAAAGCCTTATTGAAAGCTTATAAATTATGGAAACTTTCCATGAATTACTTTCTTGCTTTGTTTTAATACTAAAACTGGTTTATCAATTTGAGAAGAATTGATATAAAACAAACTTATGGATACTTTCCTAGATTAATTCATGTATAAAAGAAGCCTACAAATATTTAAAATCATAAAAGGCGATTTTGTGACTTTTTTGATCTTGGCAATTTGTTTTATTGGAATAGCCTTAATTTACTTTATTTAATCTGTTGTAATGTAGGTGTATACTTTGCTTTTCTCCTTTTTCTAAAGTTATTTTTAGATTTTTAAAAATATTTGCATTTTTAGTGTCCTTTCCAAATAATTAGTTCTCTTAGAATCTTAAAGCAGATTAGCAGACATTTCATAATGTTTGGATTTGTTCTCTGAAGGTTTTGTAAAATTGGGAAATGTTAGAGTAGAATATTTCTTTTTAATTTGGTTTTAAATTAGGTATTTATTGTAGCATCTGTTTTATAAGGCTGTCAGCTGCCCTGAGTCCGGTAAGGAGAAGAGCGGGATATAAATCAAATAAATAAATAAATAGAACATACTGGTATAAATTAAAACTTCTAGTTGTTCTATACAGTTTATTCTGATAATTTTCTAGGCTTTATGGTGCATCTGTGTGGAAATTTTCAGTGGTTTCCTGCAATAGCAAAAGTAGAATGGACCAAGCTGGGAATGCCTTGGATTGGAGTGGGTCCTTGTTCTAATGATTGGTGGAATTTGATTATCAATGGCAATGGGGAATGCCAGGATTTATGATGCAGTTACACACTGTTGCACTTTCTGACCATGTCACTTAGCAATGGAAATTCTGATCCCAATTACTGTTTGTTAACTAGGGCCTATTTCTATGGTAAATAAACATGATGGATTACTTTGGTTTAGTTTGTTAGGAAGTCCTTGTTGATCAAAGCAATATGGTGGAATAAAGTATTGTTGATATCTGACTTTTATGTCCTGTGAGGAAAGATTTAAATTCACACAACTCTGTCATTACTGTATTTGTATGGTTTGTCTCTTTTCTACAGATCCTCGAACTTCAAAAGAGATCTTTGATTTTACAGTGAAGGCCATAAGTCCACAGGTATATATAGTGTCTCTTTTATATCTTCTTAAAAGAAGATTCTGACATGTTAAGCAGATTTGGCAAACTATTCTTATTCTGAACCTTTTAAATTGCAGATCGATTTAAAAAGATATGCAGTGCCTCTTGGTAAGAATTTCTTATTTTCTTATGAGATAGTTCTTTGCTGACAAAATAGTTTCTGTAATAACATATTGAGTTTATATTCTTTAGATAGTTTTAATTTCAGCTTCATTATTTTCCGGTATAATAACAGTTTAGCTTAGGCTGACATGTGCCTTCCATTTAGAAAAGACAAAGATATGTCATATGGATTTTTTTGCAAGGAAATATTTAAAAATAAAATAATTGAACAATTTGGTCAAAAGTAATACTAGAAACAAATAATCATTCAAAACTGTTAAAATCAGTTATGAAAATATTTTGGATATAATTGAAACAAAATGGTCAATGTAAATTAAAATGTTTACTTTACAGCTGGTCTACATTTATTCAGTAAGCATGCTGTTCAGTTCAGCACTTATCTTTTAGACAATTATGTCTCATTGTTTCAAACAATGTCCAAATGGAGTGGCCATCAAAATGCAGAACTCAAGAAAGCTGGTCATTCTGCGTTGGATTCATTTCTTAAACAGGTACAATACAGCTGTTCACTGGTAGAATTCCTAGAATGAAAATACTATAGTGAAATTGTCTACATGTAAGTTTGTCCCTTGTTTTAACTAGTAAGAAATGAGTTATGCATACTAGCTCTAGCCTGGCATACATTTTTCAAGAAGAATAGAATGGCTTTAGACCAATGAATTCAAAAATTTTCAAAATCTACCTATGGTAACCATATTTTATCTTTCCTTTTATGTTTGTCAATATTAGACTGGGTTCAGAGTTGTGAGGGTCTCAGAGTTCCATGAAGGCATGGTCATCCAGAGTTTATTCACATTTTTAAAGGCAGATCTTCCTTTCATGTCTTAGAGCACGGGTGTCAAACTCACTGCGTCACATGATGTGTCGCGACGTAATGTGACTTATTGCATTACCGGGGCTGGGGTGGGCGCGGCCTCTGCATGATGCAACCGGCCCATGGGCTGGCAGTTTGACCCCCCCTGTTTTAGACGATATCTGATTTCATGACCTTGCTTCTTGTTCCTTCAAATGTGTTAGCATTTTATTACATAATTTTTGGGGAAAATAGTGTTAATGATAGATAATGTAAGATTGGAAAATATTTGAATATTTAAATGATAAAATTGCTAATTTTATATATGATTTTAAGATTTCATCAATGGTTGCCAAAGATGTTGAAATGCATAAGAGCAAGTTGCAATTCTTTATGGAACAATTTTATGCTATCATCAGAAATATGGATGCCAGCAACAAAGAACTGTCCATTGCTATTCGTGGTTATGGACTATTTGCAGCGGTACGTAGTTTTCTTCATGATATAAAGTTATTTTGAAGGAATGCAGTGCTACAAATGGGAATAAGGTTTTATTTTATATATCTGGCAGATCATTTTCTATAGAAATTTTGTTAATTTTTATAAGGTTTTAATGAAATTTAAAAATACAAAGATAAAAAACTAATACATACTAAGAAAAATATTTTAAAAAAGAAAAAAAGATTAAAAGTGCAGAGAGAAAAAGATAAAAGGGAGGGAGAGAAGGCAAAAAGAGAAAAATATATTAAAAAGAAGAATAAAAGAAAAAACCTAAAAAGAAATGACTTCCATCTTCAGAAAGACAAGTACAATCATTTTCAATAATTTAACATCTTCTTTAATATTTCAATCAAAGATTTCTTAATCCCATATAGAAATCTTGTTAATTGCTGTACTACAAGTAAAATTCTGCTAGGAACAATTAGGGATTTTTAACTAAGAATTTCCCCTTTTTCTTTAAATTTAAGTTTCCCTTATATACAAAAAATAAGATTACTGTATAAATTTTGAACATGTTCTTTGATAGAGCTATTAAATTAGAAATTGATAGTCATGAAGGCCTTTTATAAATACTTCATTTTGTGTAGAAGACACAGGTGCCTTCTGTTCCAAACTACAGGTAATCCCCGAGTTATGAGCGTTCACTTAATCCTCGTTCAAAGTTACGTGATGAGCGCCCCCTAGTGCTTACAAGCAAGTCCCACCCTCCCCTGGGTCTCTCTAGGCACCAGGCCTTCAATACTCAACCTGCGAGGATCGAGATCCTTCGCTTTCTTGGCTGCTCCAGGCCTTCGGTGCGTTCGCAGAGAATGGAGGCCTAAAATAATGCAAGATCACGCAAGACAGTGATCTTGTGTGATCTTATGGTACTTTAGGCCTTTGTTCTCTGCAACAGAGAATGGAACTGAAGCTGGGGAATGGTTCCACATGCCTCTTGAAGCTGGATCGGGGCTCCAGAGGCTGTTTTCCAGGCCCGGATCGGGCCGCGGCGATGCGTGGAAGTGTCCCCCAGCCTCAAATCCGGGCGGCAGCAGCCTGGAAAAGGCCTCTGGAGTCTGGATCAGGCCGCAGAAGTATTCCATGGCCTTAGATCCGGGCAGCAGCAGGAACTGCAGCAGAGAGGAGACAGATCTTTTCCAAGGGAGTCCAGCAAGAAGGGAGAGGGAAGCATGCAGTATCTTAGTGGGTCGGGGAGACCTTGGGGGCCTGTTCCATCACTAGGCCCTCCATGGCCTTCCCCATCCTGAGGTACCTCATGTTCGCTTAACGAACCGTGTGCATTTTAATGAGCAAGGGAGTAATCTCATTTGAGGTATGAGATTCATTCTATGAGTTTTCAAGTTACAAGTGGAATGTGCAGGCTCAATTACACTCATAACTCGAGGACTACCTGTATAGTTTTTTTAACTTGCTTTAGGAGACTTATTGAGAAAGAACTTTTCAAATAGCACAGGATGCTGTTGATTCTTGTAGTTTTATGCAGTTAGGAATTCATTCCAGCTAGATGTTGAAATTCAAACCAATATAATATAAATTCAAGATTATATTAAAGGTTTTGATTATGCAGAAAGTTGAAAGAAAAAATGATATTCTTTAGATATTACGTTATATCTCATATAAGTTCTTTTGTGTTAATCTTCAAATTTGCGCATTATTAGGTAAATCACTGCAGTTGTTAAGTTAGTAACACGGTTGTATTAATCTGGCTTCCCCATTGACTTTGCTTGTCAGAAAGTTATAGAAAGTGATTCCATGACCCTGGGACACTATCAAAAATATGAGTCAGTTGCCAAGTGTCTGAATTTTGATCATGTGACCATGGAAATGCCACAATGGTCATGAGTGTGAAAAATGATTATAAGTCACTTCTGTCAGTGCCGTTGTAACTTCAAATGGTCATTAAATGAACTATTGTAAGTTCTACCTCTATTTGATAGGTAGAAGATGTTTTAAACAAACTGTCTTAGAGACCGGTTTGTACATTTCTCTGGATTTTCTGTATCAAATTACTTCTACTGAATATTGAATAGAACATTTCAAAGAAGTCTGATCATGTGAAATAGCTTTTGGACAATATACATTAATAAATAACTTAGTAATTTCTAAAGAAATTTTGACATGGTCCATAAGAGGAGTAAAACAGTCCAGAATTGTCCATTCCCTAATTGATGAATTTTGCATATTCCTAACCTTAACCCTACATAATATTTTTTGTATTTTTCTCCACTTAAAGCCTTGTAAAGTTATCAGACCAAAGGATGTAGATTTCATGTATGTCGAACTCCTTCAGCGCTGTAAGCAGATGTATCTAACTGAGGCAGAAACAATTGATGACCATGTATATCAACTACCAAGCTTCCTTCAATCCATTGCAAGTGTTATATTCCACTTGGATGCTGTAAGTAAGCAGTTTAAACCTAATTTGTGAGGCTATGTGTATGTTCAGGAAATATCTGGACCTCCATTGATGAACATGCTGATATAATTTTTTTTGGTTGAAAAATACAACAGATTTGAGAACAAAGGCAACTGCTTTTTTCTAACATCTCCTCTTGTTTTTCTTCTAGATTCCTGAGATATACACTCCAGTTCTTGAACGTCTTATAATAGTACAAATAGATAGCTTCCCACAATATAGTACCAAGATGCAAACAGTATGTTGTAGGTCTATTGTGAAAGTATTTTTAGCTTTGGCAGCAAAAGGCCCTGTATTGTGGAGTTTTATGAGCACTGTCGGTGAGTATCCTATAGTGTACAAATGTATATAGTTCCTTTGACTTCAGTATGAATTTAGGTTTGAATAGCATTACAAATTTAAAGAAGCAGTAGTAATAGTAAGCTTAGGCATTTCCTGATAATTACTATTTAACTTTTGCAGCAATTAGAATATACTGTTACATTAAAGTTTTGCATCTTCTAGTACAGGGGTAGGCAACCTCGGCTCTTTTATGATTCATGGACTTCAACTCCCAGAATTCCTGAGTCAGCGTAGCTGACTCAGGAATTCTGGGAGTTGAAGTCCATGAGTCATAAAAGAGTCGAGGTTGCCTACGCCTATTCTAGTACAACCCTTCAATTTGGATTTTAATTTCTGAAACAGTTTTCCCGAACTCCTATCATGCTCTCCACCATTTTGGAAGATGCTACTTTGTTGCCTTTCAATTATTTTTTTAAATTCCTCCCTGTCAATCATGATTTAATTATTAGTTTTCACTTATTTTTGCTTTTCCTCATTCTTGTAACAAAAGGGCTCCCTATACTATAATGAAGTTTGATTTGGGCAAAACAAAATAAATGAACATTGAGTAAACTAAGCATTATATGTGAACATTATGGCTTATGCAGCAAACATTTTAAAATCTTGGCTTAAGAGTTTTGTACTAATTCCAGTTTCTAGTGCTACTTGTCATGGTTTTCTTTTGACTCAGACATTTTCCCTATTTTTAAGTGCTAGAAGATAAGAGGTTCCATATTTCCATCCTAGTTTAGTTTTGCTTAGACTGGGTTCTGGATAGGAGGTAGACAAAGATTTATTACCAGCAAGATTCTGGGTCAGAAAACGCTTTTTTAACATTTTATTTTCTTACAATCTGGAAATAAGGGGGAACGTTTCTTGTCTACAAATAGGGTGATTGATACAGTCAGAAATTAGCAGTTGATTAGTGGGAAGGGAACAAATAATGAAGTTGATAGTCTGACAAGTCAAGGAAATACGTTCCATGTGTTGACATGCAAAAGGGCTTAGAACTTACAGTGATAATGGCTAGTTCAACATGATAAAGAATGCTGTAAATCTTGTTCAGAACAACTGGACCATTTTAAGATACCATTTTAAGATTCATCATTGTCAATGTGAAAAAGAGAAGCAGAGTTTTTAGAAGTTTTCTTCATTTTCTTTGAGTTCAGTGACTAGTGCAAAGTTGACATTGTAAAATGTAATTTTGAGTATACGTAGTCCTCAACTTATGTCCATTTGTTTAACAATAGCTCAACATTACTATAGCCTTGACAAAATGGCTTGCATTGCATCCTTGAAGTTACAGTTCTTGCACCACTCCCATGATCATATGATTGCAATCTGAGCACTTGGCAACTGGCTTGCATTTACTTAATGACCACATTGCTTAGCCATTGATATTCAGGTCCCAATTGTGGTCATAAGCCAAAGACTATCTGTTGCAAAAGTCTGCCATAAAATTGGGTTCATATTTAGGCCTCAGAGAAGTACAGCAGATTGATCATTGCAATATCTGTCTCCCCTCTGTAATGGGAACATAGAATATTTGTTGCATTAGGACATTAGCAGTATTACTTGAGTCCAGCTTATTGAAATACTAAATTAAAACAAACTCTCTTCATTTTCAGTGCATCAGGGTTTAATCAGAATCTGTTCAAAACCACTGGTTTTTTCAATGGTAAGTTTATTGGGGTTTTGTGGAATTAAATGTGTATTTACAGAATTGGAAAAGTACTTATTTGCAATTTAGGGGACCTGCAAAATTATGAATTGCAAAAATGTTCTCCCTTACTAGAAATTTTAGAATGTAGTGTACTGATATGCAGGAATGACTTTGGGAGGTTGGTTCCAGAGATGTTGCCTAGGAATAGTCTGATAAGAGACAGCATAGTCCACAGTTGGATAATGGGTGGGCAAAAGGCTCAGAAGAGACCCCCCCTAATTTTTTAGTAGAGTTCAGCCCAGTACTGCCACTGTACAGGGTGGCCAAAGAGGCAAAGAAGGAGCTGGAGATAGGTGAATTGGGGAGTTGAAGCACCCCTATAGTTGTAAGTACGGGCAGGCTGCAAATCCCCAAATGTTGATCATGTGACCATGGAGTTGTTGCAGTGGCCATAACTTTGGGGACCAGACACAAGTACCACTGAACAAATGATCATAACTCAAA